TTTAAGTCATGCAGTCTAATGTGATTTATTCCTTTTTTATTATTATTATTAAAATATAGTCAATGAATAATGTGTTAATTTCTGGTGGACCACACAGTGATTCAGTTATATACATATTCCTTTTCATATGCTTTTTCATTATAGGTTATTACAAGGTACTGAATATATCTCCCTGTGCTATACAGTAGGATCTTGTTGTTTATCTGTTATATATATAGTAATATACATAATATATATTCCTTTAGTGCTACTTATAACCACTCAGGTATGAAAATATTAGTAAGTTCTAAAATTTACTCCTGTGCTCTTATATAAATTTAGAGTCATGAAAATATAGTTTGAGCACAGGGATTTTGTATTCATTATTTTAAACAATATTACTTTATCAGAAAATGTATCTTTATTCATTTATTTTAACAAACATACACTAAGTGCCTACCATGCCCCTGATCTTGGGAACAGAATGACGAATAAGACATGGTCCCTGAGCTTGAAAAAATACTTTAAAATTATCAGTCTGGTAGTGTGATTTTAATCTTGGTGTAAGATATTCCCCCTCTGGAATAAACTATTGATCAGAAACCTAATTCTGTTAGAAGCAGAGTTATAGCTTAGAAGGACCTGTTTTAGAGTTTACCTTGTCCCACTCTCTCAGAGTTTGCTCAGATAAATCATACAACAAATATTTACTGAGCTACGTAGCAGGCATTGTTCCACATGAGTGCCAAAGACCCACCAGTAAGCAAAGCAAAGTCTCCACCATAATGGAGCTTACATTCTAGTGATGGAGACAGACAAGAAATAAACAAGGAACAGAGTAGATCATGTGGTGATAGTCATAGGAGATACGATATTCCGAGGTAAAGGGAGAGTGGTGATTTTCTACACAAAGGTCAGGGAAACACTTTCTAATAAGGTGGTTTTAGCGGAAAAATTAATGAAGAGCAAATCATAGGAATATCTGAGAAAATACATTCTTCTTTTTTTTTCTTTAGTATATTCTCAGCAAGGGGAAAAGAAAGTGCAAAGGCCCTGAGGTAGGAGCATGCTTGGTTTATGCATAAAACACCAGGAAGGTCAGTGTGCCTGAAGCAGAGTAGGAAGGAGGGGAGAGGGGCTGAAGATCACTGCAAGCTTGGGTTTTTACCCTACATGAGACAGGAAGCCACTGGAGGATTTGAAGCAGAGAATTAAAGTGACCTGCTGTATATTTTGAAAGGCTGATTCTGACTGCTGTGCTGAGAGCAAAGTCTACCGGGGAGAGGGTGGGAGGAGTGAGACCAGTCAGAAGGCTAGTTCAATGATCTAGGAGAGAGGTTGTTATTGGTGGACCAGAGTTGGAGGTGGTGAGAAGCATTCATTATTATTATTAGTTATCTATTGCTGCATAACAAATTATCCCCAAATTTACTGGCTTAAAATGACAAGCATTTATTATCTCACAGTTCTGAGGTTCAGGTATCTGGGAGTGGCTTTTAGCCGGGCGGTTCTCACTCAGGGCCAGTGTCTCATGATGTTACAGTCAAGACATCACCTGAGTCTACATCATCTGAGGCCTTGACCCAGGCTATAGGATTCACTTCTGAGAAAGCTCACGTGCATGGCTGTTGGCTGGAGGCCTCAGTTCCTCACCACGTGGCAGCTGGCTTCCCCCAGAGCAAGTGATGAAAGAGAGAGAGAAAGAGGAAAAGGAAGAAAAGACAGGCGTTGCAGTGTTATTTATAACTTAATCTCAAAAGGGGCACGCCATCACTTCTGCCAAGTTCTTTTGGTCCCACAGACTGACCCGGGTACAGTGTGGGAGGGGATCACAGCAGACTGAATGTTGGGAGGTGGGCATCTTTGGGAATCATCTCGGAGGCTGCCAACCAGAGTTCAGATTCTTGTTTTGTTGTCGGATTCGATCTAGCATGTAAGGAAGGGAAAGAAAGGAACCAGGGATAACTTTAGAATTTTTGGCCTTATTTTGGCAGGGGGAGGATCAGGAGCTATTTTTGGATGTGCTACCTTTGAAAGCCTATTCAGTACTCAAGTGGAGATGTCAGAGGAGAAACTGGATAAATATCTGAGTGTGGAAGTTCAGGGAGAGGTGCAGGCTGGAGATGCCAATTTGGGACTTACCCATTTATGGGTGGCATTTGAAGCCAGAGCCTGGATCCGATTCCCCAGGGAGTAGTACAGACTGATGAGAGACAAGAAGATGAGGCACAGGAGCTGAACCCGGGGCCCCAACAAGTAGATTTGGGGAGATGAGGAGGAACCAGTGAGGACACGGAGAAAAGGCCAGCGAGGTGGAAGGAGAACCAAGAGCAAGGTGCTCACGGAAGCCAGGGAAGAAAATGTCACCCCTGAACTAGTGCTGCCGAGAGGCCCAGGGAGCAGGAGTCCCAGGTGCGGGTCCTCTGTCAGGACTGGCACCACAGCCGACCCAGACTTCTAGAGACGTGCTGTCAGTGTTTAGGATATAAGGGGAAGACCTCCGGATGAAAACACTTTGGAGGGATCTTAGGAATATAGTAAGGAGAGGGTGGGAAAAAGTATATCCAAACATCATAGACTTAACAACAAACAATGATTAAGAGCTGATTCTGTGCCCCACGCTGTTCTAAATGCCTTTCACGTGTCAGGTCATTGAATCTCACAGACACCACACAGAGGCAGCATTTGACCCCGCAGATGAGGAGGAAATGGGCTGACAGAGGGCGTCTACACAGCCAGCCAGGTGGAGGCAGCAGATTCAAACCTGGTCAAGGACCCGTGAGCCCTCTTTGTGCCACAGTGTGGCCCTGGCAGAGGGCTTTCGGAAGGATCCTGAAGGCTTTCCCAAGAACCAAGAGGGAGGAGGACGATGAACAACATTCTGGCTAGGGATTTTTCCTCTGCCAGGACTCCAGTGCTGTAGGAAGTCTGAAAAGTGAGACACAGATGCCTTTGAACTTGCCAGGCTGATTTAATTTGGTATCTCCTGGCAGGAACTGCAGCACTCAAAACTGCAATTTTAAAAGGCTGTTTGGGTGGACTCCTTGACTGAATTCCTCAACTGCTCTCTCCAGGCCGGGGGGAAGCCAGCAGGAAGCAGGGCCTCTGTCAGACTCGTAAATTCCTGCTTTATTGCCTATTCTTCCAGGATCAGCAAACCCACAAGCGGTCACCCTGAAGGTGATGTCGTCCCACCCCCATCCTCAGTGCTTTATGGGGGTGGAGGGGTGTTGGAGACACGTAGGGCAAGCAAGAGACAGGTGAGGGCTTGGCCCTTAAGCCTCTAGTCAAAAGACAATCACCTCCCATCTCTCTGGCCCAAACCCCTATCTCTAGGTTTCTGTCAAAGTCAATCAGAAAATCCCACGGGCTGGCAATGAATATTCAGCACTCCCTAGACATACCGCTCTGGGTTAGGTCCTATTGGGCTTTGAAAATAGAATGGAGCTATGTTTTATAGAAGCTTACTTTATAGCTATCTGGGCAGGAACCTATCCCACAATTAAGTAAGTGAGACCTGCCTGGACAGATTTTTATTCCATGAAAAGTGGACAGTCTTTCTTCACCATGGTTCTTTTCAAGCCAATAATGAATTTTAAAAATACTTTCTATGAAATGAGATGTGTACAATATCACAAATTGAGAGCCATCAATTCAGATGTTTAACTATTTAAGGAAGCCAAACCAAACCAAACCTACTCTCTCTTAAAAAGGCTATAATGTTAAATAATAGAAAGTCCTTAAGAACGCTGTTCTATCAAAGTCCACTCAGAGTGTGCCTTTTAAAAATAAGATTTTTTTAGTGGTAGGGGGCGTATAGCTCAAGTGGTAAAAGCACTGGCTTAGCCTGCATGAGGTACTGGGTTCAATCCCCAGTACTTCCTCTAAAAATAAATAAATAAGTAAACCTAATTACCTCCAAATAAATAAATAAACCTAATTACCTCCCTCCTCTCCCCAAAAAATAATTTTACAAAAATAAATAAGATTTTTTTTTTGACTCTCAATGCTTAGGCCTGGCAATATCAGTAGTTAGCTGTGGGACCCTGGAAAGCCATATCCTTTCTGAATCTCATTTGAGATATGGAGATAATACTATTTCATGAGAATATTGTAACAATAAAATGGGAATATGTATATGAAAGTGGTTGATATTAATATTAATAACATTGTTAACTACTCCTAATAAAATATGAATCTCTAAAGTGACTTTAGCTTTAAATTTTTATTATTAAGGAATAATTATTAAAGAATTTAAAGAGAGTCCTTTTAGAGACATACCCTGAAGTCATTTAGGATGAAATGATGTAACAACTGAGATTTGCTTCAAAAGAATCAAGGGAAACAGCAGGTTTGTGTAAGTTCTGGCCACATTTTGAGTATTGTTGAAGCTGGGTTATGGGTGCACGGGAGTTTTTTGAAAAACTATTTTGTCTACATTTTATGCTTGAAATTTTCACAATGAGAAGGAAAAAAGCCAAGGGGAAATTGAAGGGCAATTTCTCATATCAAGTTCAAGTGCTACTAGATTAAGACTGCTGCTTGGCAACTATATTTCAATAAAAGAAAAAATGAAAATTTTTAAAGAAATTATTGCTGATTAAGCAAACCTTGATATTAAAAGAAATGGTATAAATTTTAAGTGAATGCCAAAATGCATATGAATTCAAGGATTTGATCATTTATATTTTTAATGATCTTTTAGCTTCTTTTTAATTAAAGGAAACCCATTTTGATTAGATATTAGGACAAAAAATTATTTACTACACGATTTAAGATTATTAATGAAACCTACAAGCTAACTTGGAAACTTAAATACGTCAAGTTTTTTTCCAAAAGAAATCTCAGGTTATGTTGATAATTTTGTTTTTTAAGAACCCAATGTTCTATTTATATCTGTTATATCTAATTAAGCACATAATTACATATCAGTATTTCAAATTTGATACTTCTCTGACAAAATCTGTCACTAACTAAAAAGAATTTAACAGCATAAGTATATAATATGCTCCCTTCCTTACTCTGAAGATGTGAATTCTCTAGGAAGTATTCATGAGTTTCTTTTGCTTCTCCAGGTTTTGTTGATCGATACTCGCTCCTCAGAGAGATCTTCCACCATCTAAAAATTACCTGTGATTGAACAGATAGAAGGTGAGATGAATTAAACAGATTTCAATACCAACAGCTGCGTTTAGACCTGGGATTTTTTTTTTTAAATCACTGTCATGGCAGGAGCATAAGGCTGTGTGTCCAACATCAGTTATAACTTCACAAACTGAGATCACATCAAATTAGAAGTGAGGTCTGTGCATCAGTGAACATTTTCCTCAGAGATTAGGGTCACAAAATCAAAGTGCAGGAAGGTATTTTAAAAATCTATCAAGTCAAACAGACTCACAGACAGAGAGAACAAACTTATGGTTACCAGGTGTAAAGGGGGTGGGAAGGGATACATTGGGAATTCAAAATTTGCACCTCTTGGGGAGTGACAGAAATGTTAATTGTCTTGATTGCAGTGGTGGTTTCATTGGTGTATACACCTATCAAAATTCATCAAATTGTATATCTGAAATATGTGTCGTTTCCTATACAGGAATCATACCATAATAAATGTGTAAAAAATAAAAAATAAAAAATAAAAACTTAGTTATGAATCAGGTATCACAATATAAACTTACTAGTTTATAAATAAGTTGGAATAAATTGAATTTGTTTGCTCAGAAAAAAGAAAAATCTATCAAGTCAACTGATGTTTAAATCACCCAGAGCCAAATGGCTGTTTCTCAAATATCTCTGAGAATAGAGATTCTCTACCTTCGGGAAGCAATCCCAAAGTAATTGCTCAGGTCTCCTCCTCCCTTCCCTGTCTAAAGGGCAGAGCCGTTGAGTGGATACTTTTCTCATGGAGAGTGACAGGCACTTGGACAGGGCCAGGAAAAGCACCCTTAGGCCTTGATTGATGCATGAAAGTGTCATTACTGAGGACACTTCTTGGTAATGGATCTGCTGGGTGTGCGTCTGACTTGTAGGAGCCTTTTGGTTTACCGGAAGCAAACCTCGTTTCCATGGTTATGGACCGCACTTCAGTTCTATGTTGATTTCATGGCAGTGTCAATGAGACTCAGTCTACACTGGGGCTCTGAGGGAAAAGATGGGAAAGGAGACTGACAGTGCTGAGAAACTGGTTGGCCTCCTAGTTCTGGAATCTTCCCTCACTGGCCGTAACATGTAAGGTTAAAATGATGTTCAGGCAGGTTCCATCCGAAGCAAAACTGTTAAGCAGGTGAAACTTGCTAAGGGGCCTCCCTTTATTTAATTTCTTCTCCCCCATCCATGCTCACCCATTACTCCCTGTGGTCTCACAGGTCCTGGCTGCACCTCCTTGGGCCACTGCCCTTGTCTCTACCAGTTCTCTGCCCACTTCTGAAGGCTCTGCTTGGTGCTGGTCTGGGAAGCCCCATCCCGCCAGCCTTTGAACTGCACAACTTCTGTTTTTCCTCACTCCTTTCCCCTTGCCTGCAGGCCTGGCCTCAGCCAGCTTTCCTCCCCTTCTAGAACTGCCTCCCCCTGCCCTAACATCTCCCCAGCCACTCCCCACTCCTCGTGTCTGAAAGATGGTCCCTCAGGGAAGAAGAGTTTTTTTCCGCCATCTTACCTAGCACCCTGCCCAACAGAAAGCAGATCTTCAGTAAATACTTGTTGGATGAATTAAAGGGTGCTTTTCATTTCAATTTTGTTGCTCATCTCTACAGAAGCTGAGGGGAAAATATATACGTAAGTTACAAAACTCCATAATCTCACAAAATTGTGGTAGCTGATTCCTTTCAGAAAACCCCTTAGTCTGGCCCTTTTGTTTTTTCTAAACATGAGACTCACTGAAATCATCCTCTTAAGAATCTTTCTTGCCGATCTCCATGGAGTTCAGGGTATATCAGTCTGCTGGGGCTGCCATTAAAAAATAACACAGACTAAGAGGCTTGAACAACAGAAATTTATTTCCTTCTAGTTCTGGGGCCTGGAAGTCCAAGATCAAGGTGTGGGCCAGTTTGGTGTCTCCTGAGGCATCTCTTCCTGGCTTGCAGGTGCCACCTTCTTGCCGTGTCCTCACATGGCCTTTCCTCTGAGCATGTGCCTCCCTGGTGTCTCTTCCTCTTCTTACGAGGACCTCAGTCATATTGGATTAGGGCCCCACCCTTATGACCTCATTTAACCTTAATCAGTTCTTGAAAAGCTCTGTCTACAAATACAGTTAGATTAAGGGCTAAGGTTTCCACATAAGAATCTAAGAGGGGATAAAATTCAATCTATAGGAAACGGTATCAGGTATTATAGTAAAAAGAGCATGCATTTTGGAATGAAGACATACCTTGGCAATTTATTTAATTCCTCTGCACTTCAGTTTTCCTTTTCATTTCCTTCTATTAAGTATCATTGAAATTGGTAATAAATATTATAAATATTTCCTTTTTTATTGGATGAAGATGCCAGGGAGTCTGAATCTAATGTGATGTTCTTTAGGCACATAATCTAGAACCTTTAGAACTAGCTGGGAAGTCAGAAATAATTTAGTCCACTTCCCGGAACTCATGTAAATGAGGAAAATATTTCAAAGAGGTTAAGTTAAAAATGATAGGTGTCCTTCCCTCCAACCATACGACCAATGAAAGCCAGACTTGGAGTGAACTCTGACACGAGAAGGACAGACGCCACAGGAAACATGCTTCTGGAAGCTCAGTGGAGTGTCCCCTCCCTGTCCACCTTGGCACTCTATGGGAATCATCACAGGGGAGTTTCTCTCTGGGGCAAGTGTACTTAAATTATAATGACATAATCAGTTACCCCTCTAGCCAGATCAAGCAACCACCAAATAGCGGGTTAAGTGGAAGATTTTGAAATGAATGGAGTTCTAGACAGGGTACCACACCAGTAATATTTGGTTACTGAGCTTCCTTCTTACATTGTTTTAAAAAAAGGCAGAGAGACACTTGCACAACCTTACTTGTCAGCCTTATATCTTACCCATCATTCATTTCATCAATTAAAAATTATTTCTGACATTCCTTCTGCTAATTTGTGAACCCTCTGGTACTGATTTAGAAGGCAATATTTGAAGTGCTTGCCATAATGGCCTCCGGAGGGAGTATCCTCAGGGCACAAACTCAAGTGACCTTGTACACACAAACATCCTACTGGCTCCTCTGAGGTATTTCAAGTAAATGACTGAGAATGTAACACTTGCCTAAGGAACCAGCACTGGCTAGAACCAGAATGCAAGCCTCCCTACTCCTAACTGGTAAACACAGGGTTTGTTTTGAGTCACGAAGCTTTCTTCATAGACAACCTTTATGCTGTGACTCATAAGACCATCCCTGTAGAGCGAGACACAGAAATCTGCTGCTCATCACAACTTAGCCTAGTCAAGGTTCTATTATTGTACTCATTAAAACAAAAATATATTAGATATTTTCTACCAAGTATTGTCTCTCAAATTAGTAAAGTTTTTTGTTTGTTTGGTTTTTGGTTTTTTTTTTAGGCAACAAAACCCAATAATGGTGAAGACAAGGAAAAATGGGAGCCCACTGAGCGGAGTGTAAATTGGCTTGGCAATATCTATTGAAAAGCTTAAAGTCATCCATGCCCTTTGACCTGGAAGTCCTACTCCTAAGGAATTTATCAGAGATGTGTGCAACATTTTTTATATGAGTGTTCATCATAGGTTAATTATGGTAATAAAAAAATCAGGTCGGGAAGAGTATAGTTCAGGTGGCAGAGTGTATGCTTAGCATGCACAAGTTCCTGGGTTCAATCCCCAGTACTGCCTGTAAAAATAAATAAATAAATAAACCTAATTACATCCCCCTGCAAAAAAAAAATAAAAAAAGAAAGAAAAAATATCAGTACTGACATAAGGATATTCAAATAATTAGGGCACATTTAGATGATGGGATACTCTGTGGCTGATTAAATAATTTGTAGAAAGTAATTAATAACATAGATTGACGTTAATCATTTCTTAAAAGGCTCAGAAGTGTATACCACTGCTCCAAATATTTAAAGGAAAATATTTACATGTGCAGGGGGAAGGAGCCTCAGCTTGGCAGTAAATGCAACTCTCTCACAAGACAGACACAGCTTGAAGGAAGCTGAGCTAAGATGTATCCCCCAAATATTTGTGAATTGGGTACCAACTATCACGGTATTTGCTTATTTTAAGTCCTAATACATAGAAAGTCACTGTTACATATGTATCTCTCTTTTGAAAACCTTAAAACCTGTAAATACTATTTTGAACATCTTCTCAACCGTGATTGTTTCGTTAAGGAACAGTCTTGCCTACAGGAAAAGCCACAGAGGAACTTCCCAGGGGTTTTGTGACTGTTTAGATCTGGCCGGAACGTGGGTTTCATCAGTCTCCCAACCACCTGTGAGCAGTGCGTGACTGCCTTTTTATGGATGAGGAAGCCGACCGCAGAGTAATGAGTTAAATAACTTGCCCAAGCTCCTCTCGCCCAGGCAGAGGCTGACCTAGAAAGAGTCTGGTTTTCTTTCATCGCCTCATACTCTCCCCAGGAAGGGCAGGCAGGCAGCCTCGTTATAGGATACACACCATTATTTGGTATCTTAATAGAAATCATGTGACCCGTGAAAAGTCTTTCAGAATTTTATTTAAATTTAGCGTATTTTATAGAGATCATGTCTCTAGTGAATGTTTTTAATAAACTTGAAAATTGAGCTTACTTTAAAAAGAGAGGTCTAAGATTCCTCCTTAATCCCCCTGACAACTCTTCTGCACAAATAATTAAGGGAAGACGACGAAGAAGTTGTCACTCACCCAGTGGAGGTCCCTAGAGCTTGGTCCTTTTCCCCACCAGGAGACTCATGAGGCGGCCCCCCAGGGGGCACGGGGCAAAGGCAGGCTCAGGCAGCGTCTCAGCACCTGAGAGGGTTTGGGACAATACACGCCCCAACCCGAGTCCCCCGGGTCAGAGGCTGCTGCTCCCATCACTTCACCAGCTGAAAAACCCTGCTGCTGGGACAAAAGTGGAGACTCCGATGTTAGAAGGGTCTGAGTTTAAATCCTGGTTTCTGTCATTTACTTTGGGCAAATGCCTTAATCTCTTTTAACCTCA